AAAAAAAAAGTTTAAAAAAAAGAATTTAGTAGGCAGTAATGTCAACAAATACATTTTTCTGACCATCTTGTTCAAAAGAAGGGCTCTTGCTGGGTGTGGTGGCGCACACCTGTAATCCCAACACTTGGAAAGCTGAGGCCAGGCAACTGGTGAGAATTAGAGGCCAGCCTATGCTACCTAATGAGTTCCAGGCCAGCCTGAACTGCACAGAAAGACCCTGTTTAATAAAAAAAATAGGAAGAAAGGCTCTTTGGGAAGTCTGATACCCATACATACTCAGTTACTGGTAGAGAAAGTTTTACTCAGTTATGATGACATATTTGTATGGGTAAATACGTTAAGAAACTTCTGTCACCTAGAATCTTCTCTCAGCTGAGGCTTATACCATATGACCTTATTTATATTTACTAACATCACAACCATAAAGATTTCAAGATACAAGCTTTTTTTTAGAAATCCACCTTTTATATGTTAGCGCTAGCCACAAGCAGACGTCAACATAGGGCTTCGGTACCTGAGGTGAGGAAAGCTGGATGTCCACTCTTGGCACTCGTCGTGGAGGCTCCTTGTGTGCACACTCAACTTCTGCTCGTACAGGAGCTCGTCAATGGCTGTGAACATTGCCTGGACTTTTTCAGTGGCATTTTGATCAAGTTCCTAGAGGAAAATGTTCCCCCAAAATATTTACATGGGCTTCAACCTCTGCTAACAAATACAGGCTGAAAGTAATCAGGTTTTGCTTCATTTTAAATATTTAGTCCACTGGGTTTGATTTCCAGTGCCAAAGGAGAAAAACAAAACAAAACAAAACAGAGGAGGCAGGGAAGGGAAGGGCACTAGGATCTGGAGGGGAGGCACTCCTCCACGTCTCTCCTTTGGTGATCTGTTAGGGAAAGTGGATAGAATACACATATCCCTTGTTTAAGGACCTGTGTAAAGACTGTTTGGACTTAATGACATAAGCACAGTGCTTGGATTTATGACCTGCCACTCAATCTTATGATTCATCTTTTATAAATGTCTCATATCATATGAGTTCACATGTATTTTCTCAAGAGTTATACATAAACTTCCAAAGCATGGAAAACAATTGAACAACTAATTATCACTGTTACTCTTGGCTTTATGGTTGTTTTAGAACTTCTATCTTATAATCCTGGCCAGTAAGTTCCTTCAGTACATGCTTTATATGTCTTTCAATTTTTCAAGGTATTTACTGCAAAGACAGGCAGAGCAGTGGCTCCATGAATGCCAGTATCACTGGCAAGGGTATTTGGCATTTCCAATGATTTTTACAGAGGCAAGCAGGTTCACGGTTCTGTGATGTCTTCTCACAGAGTTTTATTTTCACTGGTCCTTTGCAATGACTTGCAGAAGATCCTTTATTAATGAGTCAAACCTGCACATTCAAAACATAGCTTCTAGCAGTGTCAACTATAATACTGTAACACTGAAGAACTTATGAAGCTGCTAAAATGCCAGGAAAGGGCACGTGATGAAATATAGGCACAGAGCTTTACTGATGTGTTAAAGATTATATCTGGATTGCATCTGTTTTGCAATCATGATTATTGATGAGCACTTTCTATATCATTGTTATACCATAAGATCTTCCAGATTTTCTCAATGATTTTCTTTTCTTTTCTTTTTTTTTTCAGAACCGGGGATTGAACTCAGATCCTTGCGTTTGCCAGTCAAGCGCTTATCCTACTGAGCCATCTCCCCGGCCCCTTCTCAATGATTTTCATCCCTGCTCTTTCTGACATGTGAGTGATCAATACTAGCTGAACCCAGATTTGTTGGTGGCTGCTCAATTTAAATTAATTATTTGTTTATTTATTTGGTGGTACCAGGAATCGAACTCAGGACCTTGTACTTGCCAGGCAAGTACTTATTCCACTGAGCTATCTCCCTGGCCCCTCTATTTTATTTTAAAGGTTAGTGGACAGCAAGTGTCAAGAAAAACAAATCATTTTCACAGGAATATTTTCATAATATGATGTGGAACACAGATATTCCTTGTTTTATGACCCATTTAATGACTATTCAAACTTACAGGGCTGGGGAGATGCCTCAGTAGAATAAGCACTTGCCTTTTGCTGCTGCCATGAACTGCTGTTCTCTACCATGTGCCATTCTGCATTGGTGCCAGCTGAGTATGGACTGAAACCTCCATTAACTGTGAGCTAAATAAACCTTTCCTTTCTTATTTTCAAGTGTTGAGTATTTTGTCCCAGCAACAAGAGAAAAGTAACCAAGACAAGAAGCTACAGCAGGCCATTAAAGTGGAAAAGGGAGAAACTATATTCGATATGGCAGTGATCCTTCAAAAATACCAACAAAGTCCAAAAATAAAAATTAATAATTAGGCCAGGCATGATGGCACATGCCTACAATCCCAAAACTCAGGAGGCCGAGGCAGGAGAACCGCCACAAGTTTAAAGCCATCCTGCGTTACACAGTAAGTTCAAGGACAGACTGACACATATAGTGAGACTGTCTCAAAAAACAAAACAAAAACTTTTATAACTAAATATATAAATTCAATTTTAGCAGAGAATCTATATCTATATCTATATCTGTATCTATCTATAGCTGAGGCAGGGGCATTACTGCAAGTTCAAGGCCAGACTGGGCTAAGTGAGTTCAAGGCCTGAACTACATAGTAAGACCCTGTCTCAAAAAACAACAAGAGAACTTCCGCCGCACCTTGGGCCCTCCATATCCGACCGAACCCAGGCCCTGCGAGTGTGGGAGAGAGCTTCTGCTCTGTCCTGTGCCAGCCCGCCGCTCCAGGCCCAGGCCCGCCACGTGAGAGAGTCACTTTGCTGCGTTCTCCAGACCACTCCAGACCACCCCTGCCCGACCAGACCCAGCACAGCTTGCCATCTGAGTAAGAACTGCTGCTGCGCTCTTGGGAGTCCTGCAGACCCACCAAAACACAACACTGGTGAGTGTGTGGGAGAGCTTCTGGGCTCTCTCGCCCCCGCTTCTCAAACCCCTCCAGACCCAGCCCAGATCTAGCGTACAGGCTTGAGGTAAAACCCTGCAGCTAAAGTCCCCACAGTGAGAGACTAGGGTCAAATCCACACAGCTAATCCAGGAACAGATCATCTTACCAGAGGTGCACAGCAAGCACACCTCCAAAGGCAACAACAGTAAGGAGCTGAGCACAGTAGCCTAACCCAAGCCAGGCACAACTGCATGAACACAGCTTGGTATATCAGTACCTGAATTTCATTAAGTGATAACATAATTGCACCAAAGCTCTACACCAAAGGCCACAAGTCAGTGTTAAACGAAATGATAAAGACAAGGAGCAGAATGCAATCTCAGGTCTCAAGACCACCCATAACAAGTGCAGAGGACACTAGCTCAGTTGAAATAAATGAATCAATAGTGTCAGAAGTAAATAAACAACAGCAGAAAGATACAGAGGTACTCAGAGCAGAATCAATTTCTGGAATTAAAAAAAAAGAAAACTCTGAATTTATAGCAGCTGAACTTAAGAATCAAATGCAGAACCATATGGAGGAAACACAAAGCCCAACCACAACAAATGCAGTGGGCACTAGCTTAGATGAAATACATGAATTAATAGCGTCAGAAGTAAATAAGCAACTACAGAAAGGTTTAAAGGAACTCAAAGCAGAATTATTGTCTGAAATGAAAAAAGAAAATTCTAAACCCATAGCACCTGAACTAAAGAATCAAATACAGAAACATAAAGAA